TAGCTTTTAAAAAAGGTTCGGTTTTTCGAGATTGGGAAGGGAAATGCTTTCGAAAAAATAATTTTTTTTATGTTTCGTCGCCGATGAACGACGGCCGGTGAGGTGGCATTTTATCATTTTCTGGGTTTTCGCGGCGGGTGTTCTTCAAGAACACCCCAAGAACAAGCGAGAGAGTTTAAAGGGGCTTTTGATCCGATTGTGAATGAGAAGGATTATGAGAAAGTGTTTAAGGGTTTGGGTTGTATACTCAACCCGCTGGCCAACCCGTGACTCGGTCCGACCCACACTAGATCCGCGTGTTTTGAGATGAAAGGGGAAATTTTAATTTTGGTCCCTCATTTTTTTAAAGCTTTAGTTTGGCACATTTAATTCAATTTAATCTCGAATTTCTTTTAAAATTGACCCCCGATTTTTTCTTTCAATTCAATCCCTTAACATTTTAATTTTTCTTTTATTCCTTATTTTTATTTATTTGAATATTATATTTTATTATATATATATACATTTTTTCTTCTTTCTCCTTTCGTGTTTTACTTAATTACTTTATTTTATTTTATAGTTAATATTTGTATATATATTTATATTTTGTTTGTTTTTATTTTGTTAAAATTCTTTTATTTGTATATATATATATTTTAAATTTATTCTTCTATTTTTTGGTTACTGATGTATACACATTTTTTCCTTTTTTTCCATTTAAATATTATTTTGTTATTTTGTTATTTTTATTTGTTTGCTTTTTGCTTTTTTATTTATTCATTTTATTCATTTTTATTCATTTATTTTATTTTTATTTTTTTACTTTATCTTTTTTTTTCTTTTCTTTTTTTACCTTCTGTTTTTAGATTTACCTAATCTTTTTCCTTTTTTGCTTGGTTTTATTTATTTTATTTATTGTTTCTTATCTAACGCTTTTCTTGATTGTTTTTAAGGGTACGATTTAAATCCATTAAAGGTAAGTAGTTTGGGATCAAATTTTATCTTTTAATTTAAACTTTTAATTTTCTTAATTAAATACAACTGAAAATTAATAAGTATCGAAAAGGTAGTTTGAGGGTTGTAACCCTTCCTTGACTGTAATCGAATCCCGAATCCGACATATTTTTGGTAAGATGCAGATCAGGTAAGAAATAAGGTATCCGATGAACCCATTTGTTCTTAAAATAAATGATCGATGACGACTCTAACCATTTAACCTAAATCGAAACCCAATTTCGAACTCACCCGAAAGACGGTTCCGACAAATATAAAAATAATTTATTTGATATTTAAATTTATTTTTATTTTTATTTTTGATACTGACCGACTCTACGTGGATTTAAGTCAAAGAAAAGGCACAAAAATGTAATAACAAAATATAGTTGGGATCTCCTTGGTATGCGTTGAGGACAAAATAATACTTTTAATCCACTCAATATTTTAATGGCATAATTTCATAACATGTCCCTAATATGACGACTATTTTCCCGGTATATCACCGGTGATCGGTATTATTACCGATCTAACACCGGTCAGACTATATTTCCCGATCTAACACCCTTAGCAGAAAAACGCGCCCTCTGCACCGTACTATATACTGATTTGGCGCCACGTGGGTATAGCGCGCCCCCTGCCCCGCGATATACGGTGATCTGGCGCCACGTGGGTATAGCGCGCCCTGATCCGCGCTATCCCTGGATATCTGACACATGGGGTATAGTGCGGTGCAGGGGGCACGCTATACCCTTAATTACCAACCCTTCACATCCCCATCCTCCCTATAAATACCCCCTCCTCAATCACTTTTATCACACCAAATTCTCTCAAATTCTCTAAATTTCTCTCAAATACTCTCTTTTTAAGGTATATTTTATAATATTTTTACTATTATGTTTTTACTTTATTTAATATTTTACTAATACAATTCTTTTGCAGATATATAATGGAAGGTAGTCTACTTCGCTCGGATGGAAATCATATATCTCTACACTTTGCTGATACGGTAACATTTTAACGTTTTAATTTAATTTAAATTATTAGTAATATTTAGTTGATTTATTATATGCATGATTATTAGATTAAGAATTAAATATCTCGACACTTTGCTGATACAGTAACATTTTAATGTTTTAATTTAATTTAAATTATTAGTAATAATTAGTTGATTCATTTAATGCATGATTATTAGATTAAGAATTAATATTTGCAATTATTTATTTTTAGGAGAAGGACCGTGTATTAGATCCTTTTATTAGGAATCTTAAGTTAGTGATACCAGCCGTGTCTTGCCGTATTTAGTAGAGGCTAGATTCGGTTACATAGGTAGATATGAGGGTCACTTAAAATAGAGTCAGACATGATTTCTGCCTTAGTAGAGCGGTGGAGGCCGGAGACCCACACATTCTATCTTCCGTGCGGAGAGTGCACGATCACGCTTGAGGATGTTTCTATGCACCTGGGGCTTCCGGTGGATGGAGATGTGATATCGGGGATAGCTTCCGGTTCTTGGACTACTTTGTGTCGGGATAGTCTAGGACGTGTCCTAGAAAATTTTATCGGAGGTAGGATACCGTTAAATTGGTTAGATGCCAATTTTCGGGAGTTGAGCGCAGACGCCTCTGAGGATGAGGTTAAGATGTATGCACGGGCATGCATACTGCAGTTGATAGAGGGTTGCTGATGCCGGACAAATCACGCAACCTAGTTCACTGCATGTGGTTGCGACATCTTAGCGACTTTCGTCTCGCCGGATCATTCAGTTGGGGCTCGGTAGTTTTGGCTTTGCTGCCGGATCATTCAGTTGGGGCTCGATAGTTTTGGCTTTGCTGTACAGGGAGATGTGTGGAGCCACTGACTACAGACGTAATGCTATCGGCGGATGTCTCCTGCTGCTGCAATCTTGGGCATGGTATCGATTGCCCTTTTTATGTCCTGTTGTGAAGAACCCATACGTATTTCCACTACTTCCGCAAATTCTAGCCCGTACATTGCACCATAATCAGCTTCATACATGTGTGCAGGAGGGTCAGTTTGTGTCACATTTCCTGGAACTTCATCATCATCGGAGTTGAATTGCGGTGATTCTAGGTGAATGAATAGTCCAGTCTCAGCACCATCCGCACCAGGCTCACGAAGCGGTTCTTCTGATGGAGATGATGGTTCCTCCATGATCTCCACATTTAGGTCGAAGAACCTACTATTTGCACGCCTTCCCCTTGAACTGGAAGGCATATCGACATTGAGATCGAAAAAGCTCACAGTCGAATGCCTCCCCCTGGAGCTTGAAGCCATCGTGTCAAATGGAAACTGCACAGATGGTTGCGTCGATGGCATCTCCATATGGTCAAAGAAATTTGCAGATGAATGCCTTCCCCTTGAACTGGACGCAGTGTTGCCATACAGATTGTTCGTGGACCCACCTCGGTACATATCGTAAGGAGTTACGGATGAATGTCTCCCTATTATGGCATTAAAATCATTACACATTATTGTAGTTGGGCTGTCAACTTGATCAACTTGTTCAGCCAGCCCATAGTGTGAGCTTAAAGATTGACCCCGAACAACACGCACTTGAACAAAATATGCATACATCTCAATAGCGGCGTCTGAATAATTACTTTGAGCTTCAACCATCATTTGAACATCATCATTGTTCGAAAGTTCGAACGCTGTATAAGTTAATGGCAACAATGATGTTGGAAATCTGTACTGCAACGACGACATTCTTTTGTTACTTCCAACATGAATCTTCCTCGAAATCTTCGTTATTAGCTCCTCAAGAGTTATGTTTCTCTTGAATGATATTTTAACACGCTCATTTGATATGAAAACAACGCCGGTTTCATCTTCTCGAATTTCACCATCATAGTAAACAATAGCTGAAAGTCGCGCCATTCTTTGAGTTTAAAAGTGCGGCAATATTATATCTGCAAAAAAATAACTTAAACAAACATGATTAAATAAATTATATATGAACGAAAATATAACACAATAAATTTTTTACACATCAACGTAAATAATTGAAATAATATAATTTTATATTATTACCTGCACCGCAAAACTATTTCGACGTATGCTCCCGCTTTTCAATTTTACAAACATAAAAATTAATTGAAAATAATTAGTATAATATTTTTTCAAATAATGATAGTAAACAATAAGTATAATTAAAAAATTATAACAAAATTACCTTATAACGAAAAATCGCACGAACTTCTAAATCAAATTTGAGAAGATTGCGAGAATTATTACTCGTTGACGGAATTGTTGTATTAATTTATAAGAGATGAGAGATGTGAGGAGATGTGAGCCGGAGGAGTGTATTTATAAGCATATAAGGCGCGGTACCATCACCGCGCTATATGTAATTATTCAGATAAAAGATATAGCGCGGATCAGGGATCACGTTAAATATAATTTTGGCGTATAGCGCGACCCCTGATCCGCGCTATACCCCTACGTGGCGTATAACGCGGATCAGGGGGCGCTATACCCACGTGGCGCCAGATCACCGTATATCGCGGGACAAGGGGCGCGCTATACCCACGTGGCGCCAAATCAACAAATAGCGCGGTGCAGGGGCACGTTTTTCTGCTAAGGGTGTTAGATCGGGAAATATAGTCTTATCGGTGTTAGATCGGTAATAATACCGATCACCGGTGATATACTGGGAAAATAGCCTAATATGACATTTCATTTTATCATTGATGTAGTTTGAAATCTAATTAAATCGATGTTATATATTTAATTAATTATTATAATTTATGAGTCCCGTTGAATTAAATATCTAGATATTTATATTTAAATAAAAAATTTAATAAAGAGATTAAAATATTTTTTAAATAATTTGAATTCGAATAGCTTAATATATATTCTTTTAATTATGTTATAATTAATAAAAAATAATTGCATAATTACGTGAGAAAATATTATTTTAATTTGATTTTATAATTAATACTATTTTGTTTTATATACAAGTTATTATTTGGAAGTGTACTATTTATAAAGAATTTTTCCCAGTCTTTCTTTTTCCGGTGCCTTAACTTGCAGATGCCAAAAGAAACAACGGCAACTTTGAATCCGAAATGCCGGTTCTCTCCGATGACTCCAATTCCTCGGCACGGTTATCGGCGGACAACGCCGAGGCGGAGCGACGGTTGCGTGAGGCGGAGGATCGTTTGAGGGAAGCCGTGGATGAGCTACATAGACGTCAGAGGACGGCCGCCTGCGGCGATTCCCCTCCGTGTGACCACGCCGATGACTCATGCGTGGCCAACGCTATTGGAAATCTTTGCCAAAGCTTTCTCCTTTCTTATGGTGTTAGAGTAGGTATCGGGATTCTTCTTCGCGGTTTCAAGCTCGCAAGAAGAAAGTCTTATTCCTCGCTCCTTGATCTCAAGGTTAGGGTTCTTTTTAAGTCAGTTTCATAAAAGCTTTTCCTTTTGACTTGATTAAATGGGTTTAATGCATGATTATGTACACTGTCTTCTTGGAAGGATTGAATTTTTTTCACTGTATTTTTCTTGGTTAGTACATAAAAACAAACTCCTTTTTGGATTAGGTTTTGAGGCCATTTATTGTTAAATGTGATTAGATTATTGTTGGGCAAAATTTCTCAGGTTTTGGGTTTTATAATTTTATCTTTGCTAAGAATTATCAGTGTAAGAATGCACTGAAATGTGATATTAAAGATGCTGAATTTGGTTTTCCAGCAACTTGTCTCAGAGAAAGATTTGATCGTGAGAGAGGAAGCATGCCGCATTGGCTTACTTTTTGGTGGCTTCACTGGTTCATACCATGCGATTCGATCTTTACTGAGAAATTGCAGAAAGAAAGAGACACCAATGAACGCGTAAGTTTGCTATAAATGACTGATTTGCATTTGATGAGTATCTCACCATGGTAAATGTTGAGTTTAAATATTGACAACTTTCTATGCATGCAATAACATTGCCCCTATCTTATCTTTGACATTATTTAAGGTGGTGATGGAACAGAATTTTAGCAGGTTCCATTGCGGGATTGTCTATTTTAGCTTTAGATGATTCAAATCAAAGGCGAACACTTGCTTTGTATCTTTTGGCTAGAGTAGCTCAGGTAAATGAATGCACTTTTAAATAGTAAATTTGCATAGTGATTTGACATTGTGGGTTCAATCTCCCTTATTTACTGTCTAATATTTTGTTTTACTCCTCAGTGTGCTTATAATTCTGCGAAGTCAAAAAATAAGTTTCACTTATGGGGAAGCCATTGGAGGCATGGGGACTCCCTGCACTTTTCTTTAGCTTGCGCTCAGGTAATATAAAGTCCATAATGATTTTTGTATCTAGATGTACGTATTATACATTTGGACAATATTCATCTTTGTACATCAGTTGATTTATAAAACATTTATAACACCAGGAATTGCTCAGTTTTGTGAGTTAAAAGTGCCAAAGAGAAGTTCAAGCTAAATTCTAGAGATATACTACTAAACATGACTTTTATATATGTAACATTCTTGAAGTGTAACTAATTCTGTTTTGTTCTTATGAAACTGTGTGAAGTTTACCTCCAATTCATCTGTTTCAGAGTGTATTTTTCCAATTTAAAAGTTAATATTTAGTGATTCAATTGTCAAACAATTTGGAATTTGCTTCTTAGGTTAAAAAATGATTGGAGAGTTTATTGTGCTTTCATATCTTCTTTTCACTTAGTAGAGTTTTGTCAATGTAGTTTCTTCATCCAGTTTTCCTAATTGATGCTCATACCAGGTTATGTACGCCTTTGTAATGCGTCCTGAAAGCTTGCCTAAATCCTATAAAGATTTTATTCAGAAGACTGGTCCTGTTGCTGCTCCTGTATATAAGGCTGTAAAGGAGAATTGTAGAGGTGGGCCAGTGGATGTTGCAGCTATATCAGCCTACATAAATAGCCAAAGGAGGTCCAATAATGTGAAGTTGGGAGAGTTCCCGTCAATTATTCCTTGTTCTGTTATTCATCCAGACACAAATTCTTGTCTAGCGCACAATGCCAAGGCAGCGTCAGCTACATTCAGGAAAACATTCCCTCTATACTTCTCTCTGACTTTTGTGCCATTTGTGGTTCTGTACCTACAAAAGGTATATCATGCATTACATATTGGTTTTCCTTTCTTCATCCATGAAAGTAGAGGGAGATCTTGGTGTTGTGCTTTGCTTTTGAGCTTCCTTCATATGCCTCCTTATAACAGTGAAGCAAACGATAAAATAATGGCCTTGATGCATTTTGAGCTCTATACCAAAGAAGCAAACAAAACAAGACAAGAATGGGGCTTACTTATCTGTGTGTGCTCTACTTTTTGGCCAAATATGCGCGCGCGTGTGTACCCTCCAGCAAAAAGTGAGGCAATTATTTTGAAAAATAAAATAGTAAATTTGGTTTAGTAGAAATCACATACTAAAATGTAAAAGTCTATATGCTTTAGCAAAATCTGGTTTAGTAAAATTTGTGGTATGGAGAGGGAATGATGCGTACTATACTACTGTTCTCTGTTAACCTTCCTATAGTCAGATTGAAAGCTTTTATGCCAGGTAAAATGGGAGAATCAATTGACAGTTTATTCTTTCGTAAATGAGACAATTTCTTGTAGTTGATTTTGCAAGTTTCTTTTGCTCCACTTGAGCAGATATCACACACACTGAGAATCTAGTGATGCATAGATGCCATTACAATGATATTACATTTTTGGAATTAATCCTCTGTATTTTTTGTTTGATTATTTTACATCATCACGATACGCATCTAGTTTATGGATACCCCTGCTCGTGGCTGTTGGCTTGCTGTTAAAGGTGCTGTTCAATCAACATCTTTCTTGTCTGCATTTGTTGGAAGTTTTCTGGTAACTTGTTTCTCATTCACTGTTCCCTGTTGTTAAAATCGGTATTATATGTTCCTTAAACATCTTGCTTGTGCAATTCAAGGCGGTTATATGCTTGCATAGAAAGATTGCATTGACAGACCACAAGCTGGTATATTGGGTTGCTGGTGCTTTATCAGGTCTTTCAATATTACTGGAGAAAAAAACTAGACGCAGTGAACTTGCTCTATATGTTCTTCCACGAGCTGGAGAATCATGGTGGAATATTTTAGTAAACCGGCACCTGCTTCCCGATGTTAAAAATGCTGAGGTAGTTTTCTTTCTCGTGAGAGCTTCAATGTCAGTCTAAGTGAAAATTTATGCCTGTAGTTAGATATTGATAGTCAACTTCGTTCTCGATGTATCTACTACTGCATCATTACATTATTACCTGAGTCAATTGTTTTCGTATAAATTTGGTTCCTTGATGCTTCCAAGCTGTTACAGGTTGTCTTATTTTGTGCATGCATGGGAGGAATCATGTACTACCTAGAACATGAGCCGGATACCATGGCCCCGTTCCTTAGAGGTCTAATCCGACGCTTCCTGACTAGCAGAATAAGCAATCCTGGTCCTTCGTCTAGTCTGACAGCTTCCTATGCCTACTTGCATAAGTTCGAGGCCACGAACAAACCAAAAGTTCAGGACAATCAACAAGTTGGGACTCGAACTTCAAAACAATACAACCTTGAATCTATACCGGGGCTATAGGCACGATATTGTTGCGTATGATATCACCCCTGGAGTTTCAGTCAACCACCTGTTATTTGCAATCTATATTCACATTGTTGCTAAATATATTAGTAGATCATTAGACTAGATTCAATGCCTCTTTTAAGGCAAATATTCGTAGTCCCGGTGTAGGATCGCTCACGAAATCTTGTGATTAATTAGTCCACCAAGGGAAACGGTCATTTTTCAATAAAGTATGAACAAGGAAAATAACATATATGATGATAAATGTAAAAATTGCTCAAAAGGATGAGCCTTCGCCCTATCAGTTTCAGTCTGTTTATTCCCCGGTTCATCTTGTTTAACAACAATGTTTTTCACCTTATAGCCCCTTTACCCGACCTAGAGGTAACGGGTGGGATCCAGACGGCTCACTTAAAACTTGTCACTCAAGGGAGGCATTTTTAAAATAAATATCACAAAAATTATCATGTTGAAAATTGAAGCGTGCTAACACCGTCTGAAGCGGAAGTCCACCTCAGAAAGAGCCACTGATAATTTAAAGTGAAATTCATTCACTAAATTTCCTCGATCATAAATACTCAAACCCAATGTGATATGTCAACCAATTTTACATGTTTTTTTTATCTGATCTGAATGTTTAAATTACATAAATATCTGAATACAACACGTTACTAAATGTCTGACAAATTATCATGCATCACAAACTGAAGAATAATATTTTATCATGTATTCCCAAGGTCACACGTCATAAAAAGAAATTCCGGGTCGAGTCAATAAGATCATGAAAAGCATTTTGATTTATTTAACTCTTATTTTACACACAATGGATTTATCTGCACCAATACACGATTTTCTTTCAGTTTTTCTGGGTCGGGTCCTATATTAGGAGGCCTAGGAGTGGTATTACTTATCAATCCAATATATTCAGCCTGAAGAACATACTAGTCAAAATAGAACATTTATAACAGTCACATTTAGAAATCAAACGGATAACATAAATAACCAGATACTACATCGAACAAAATTTAGCATAGAAAGAGACTCACCTCCCTGAAATAACACTAACGTCGTACGTGATGTTTCCCAGAATCAGCTCGAATAATGGATCGGATTGAATCGGTTCTTACATAACGATTAACAATACTTTTATTATTCTAGCATGAATAACGAAATCAATCAAAATCATTATTTACACTATAACTTACGATCATTCCTCATAATCCGAGCGTAACCCGAGTGAGTTCAAAGTGAGCCGGTAACTACAGATGAGATGGTAACTCTATTTTTAGGTCGACGTCTCCTGCAAAAATTACATCGTTCGTATTAAATGTCAACCACTCAATTTTCCGAGAAATATAACATTACTACGACAACTAAAAATAAATCTGATTGGAATACAGGACCGTGGCAGCAAGTTATCGGTCCAATTAAGGGGCTGCCAGTTCTAAAGTGGCAGTCCGGTTTAATGGCAGCAGCCCCCCGGATCGCCCATACAGCTGCCACATCGAGCAACAACGATAGTCGGCCACAGCCCCAGCTAGCAGAGGAGACGGGGGTTCAGATCGGCCATTTGGCCTCTGTCACGCGAAACCTCGACCTCAAACGACTACGCACAGCCGAGAACGCCAAGAACGGCGACGGACTCTTGATCTCCCTTACCGAAAAGGGGCGGTGTCAACTGCCTGGCCACGCGAAGGGAAAAGAACGCTATACTAGGCTACTACACCAATGACCTTACCTCGAAGGGCATTTAATTTTTTGGGTAAACTACATAAACGACCACCCAACTATGGGCTTGGTCTCAAAATGACCATTGTTTTCAAATTTATATCGACCATTGAACTATTTAATTGGTTTCAATATAGCTACAAACACTCATTTTTGTCCGAATCTTTTTACATTATATAGTATATATGATAATGTATATAATGATTTCAAAAATATATAATATATATAGTTTTTGAAGATATATTATAGTTTTTGAAAATATATTTTTGAAAACATATAATATATAATTTTAAAAAAAGGTTTTTGAAAACATATATAATATAGTTTTTGAAAATATATTTTTGAAAACATATAATATATAGTTTTAAAACTATTTTTGAAAACATATATAATATAGTTTTTAAGAAATATTTTTTTTGAAAACATATAATATATAGTTTTAAAAAGATTTTTGAAAATATAAATAATATAGTTTTTGAAAACATCTTTTTGAAAACATATAATATATAGTTTTTTAAACGATTTTGAAAATATATATAATATAGTTTTTGAAAATATATAATTTTTGAAAACATATTATATAGTTTTTTTAAAATGTAATATAGTTTTTATTATATTATATATTATTTATTATATTTTTATTTAACTTTTTATTTTTTTCGGTTCAAGATGGAGTCCAGAGTCGAAATCCAAGTCCAGAATGAGGGTGTGCGGGAGCCCAATCGGGTAGGCAGGCCTGACCTAGCAAGCCGACCCGACTACGAGTACATCAGACAAAAGCCTAAGTTCGCCTGACCTAGCGAACTAGGGTTTTGAATTTAAGTAAAGACATCGCGCGTTCTCAGCCGTAAGATATGGTATTGATCAACGCCCACATTGCATAACAGTTTGGGTTTTTAAAACCCTAAAGGTATTACTGATGCGCAGCCACAGAAGGGCCGATGGATCTGGCCGTCTGATCTAACAGTCAGAATCCATTGAGAACAACTGATAACAGCGCGTGGAAGACACATGCCAGCTGAATCATTGACCAGCCAAGATCCTCAGCACCCTAAACCAAAACCGCAAGAAATTAGAACAAAGACATTCCACCAATCACTAAAATAGAAGAATCGAGCACGATCACCGGGACTGCACCATCCCGAGATGCTCGGCAACCACCATCGGTGGTGGAGTATAAATACCCCACCAAGCTACCAAGAAAAAACACGGAGGAAAACCAAAAGAATACGAGCAGTAAAATACCAAAGATCGAGCAACCGAAACAACCAAACCACAAGTATACACAAAAATAAGCATCAAAAAATCAAGGAAAACCAAAGCAAACATCGGCGTTAGATCAAAGGAGGAACGACCATTAGGTTATAGGGAGGAGTTATTATTCTCTGCTTTTGATAATTCGGCAATATAGGGCACAACAATTTGACTGAGTTACACATTAGATATATGGATCAGAGTTTGCATACCATGAGGACAACTTCAAGAAAAAGGTTAAAGATGTAGCTGAGTCATGGAAGAAAATATTTCGTACAGATGTCATAGATGCTAAAGACATGCTTACTCCTGATTATATAGAATTGAAGATGCTAAGGAAGAATGACAACATTCCTATACCAGATCATGAGGATCACTCATATCATGGAAGAGCATCTTACCTATTCTTTCTGAATTAGAGATAACAAAGAATGAATTCAAAGCCGAAAAGAAAGAGATGAAACAAAGACTAAATGAACTCGAAGCTGAAAGATTTTAATGGAAGTTAGATGTCGATACTCAAAAGGATCGAGCAGACAGGTTAAAAAAGGGTATCAAGAGCAAGTTCAGAATAATTCTAACTTAAAAAAATCTTCTTTGTACTGGAAAGGTGAAGCCAGCAGTCTGAAAAGGAAGTTCGAGGGACAAGATGAAAGAGAATCATTGAAAGAACAGTTAAAGACTTCCCAAAGACGTTTGTTAGAAAGCCAGCACCAAAACAAATAATTGAAAGCCAAGGTAACTGATTTGGAAAGATTCTTTCAAAAACAGCAAGAACAGGATAGTAGAACTATAACTGAGTTGAAGGCCATTGTAGACAAGTTCAAGAAGCAAGCAAGTGAGCTTCATATAGTTTCTTTTGATGGAGGACTTCAATGTCGTTTCCGTCGGGAACAGGCTCAGCAAAAGGCGAAGGCTAGAGATGCAGTTATTCAAGACTTCTTAGAGCAGGTACAGAAAGCGATGCACCACTTGTATGGTTTGGAAAGAGAAGCTGGGGTGGTTCGACAAGGTATTCATCGAATAACATATGAAGCAATAAGACTTCTCAACTTATTAGAAGTCGTTCGGGGTCTAGAGGACCTAGTTAAAATATACCTTTAAGTTGTTTTGATCTATTAGAAATAACACTTTTGTCCCAATAAAGATTATTTATAATAACATACACGTTTTTGGATCAGTGCCTCGAAACTTCACGCATCATGCATTCCTGGATATTTTGCATTTTTCTTTTTCTTTTCATTTATTTACATTCACTTTAACTAACAGAAAATGTCTCATCAAAAAAAGGAACAGACATTGGACGTACCACCTCAAGCATTGGACGCACCTCATCCTCACAATACCTGTTCAAAGAAAAAGAAGATGGAAACCAAGATCGTTCAACTTGAAGAAAACATGCTAAGGATACCGAAGGAACTTGAAGAAAAAATAAGTCAAAATCAACAAAATACCTTGGATTCCATCACTAGGAATCAAGAGTCTTTAGTTGATCAGATTGTTACAAGGTTGTCTGGCCTAAATCAAATGAATGCTCTGGAGCTGGGGTATCCGAAGAGGTGATTGTACCACCTACCCCGCAGCTGATTATTTCACTTGAGATCTTATCGGGACTTCAAGACTCATCTGCTACAAAAGCACAAGCTTCATTAGTTGCAAAAGGAGAAGCTTTTGTAACTAACCCTCAAAATAATTTGGATGATTATCGTAATTCGGATTTTGATGATGAGGATAAAACAAAGAAGATGGATGAGACAATTAAGTTGTTAGAAGATCAAATGAAGACGATTAAGGGAGAAGATAATTATTATGAAGTTGATGCTATGGAAATAAGCTTAGTCCCAGATCTAATTCTTCCTCCTAAGTTCAAAGTCCTAGATTTTGAGAAATATGATGAGAACAGTTTCCCATCAGCTCACATTACCATATTCTGTCGAAAGATGACAGGATACGTGGGAAATTACCAGCTTCTAATTCACTGCTTCCAGGAGAGTCTGTCAGGTTCAGTCATTCATCATAACATAGAAAGATCTCGCCAAGTCTTTCTAAGAACAATACAAGCATGTAAACGACATGAGGCCAGATCGCTTCATGTGGCAAAGTATGGAGAAAAATATAATGAAAGCTTCAAACAGTATGCACAGCGATAGAGGGATTTAGCTGTACATGTCCATCCTCCTTTGGATGAAAAAACAAGGAAGCTCTTCGTACATACTTTGAAGGCTCTTTACTTCAA